ACCACTGCACTAAGGTACTGTACATTTCCATTTACACGATGCAGCTTTTTCCATAGAATGAGCTGCTTAGAGTTTCTCACCATGTCTTTCAGCCCCATCTATAATTCTGACGGATCCGTGTGTGATCTTCAGACAGCCCTCCCTCCTCTCCACAGAAAACAAAGACCGAGGCCACCGGCTAGGCATTACACATGACGACATCTCTGTTTCTCCTCTATCGATTGGGGATTGTGTGTCACAGCTCCTGGGCGCATCATGCACTCCTGGCATGCTTTTCCAGTCAAGAGAAGGCACAGCCGCATGTTTTTCAACCCTCAGGCTGACCTTGTGATTTCTTCACAGAATTCCAACATTCTTACAGATAAACCTTGTTCTCTCCAGAGTGTGAAGGCCAATGGAGAAGAGATACATCAGCCTGAAGGTGAAGGGTGTGTTATTGAAAAATCTAAAACACAGGGGAAAGTAGTTTTTATTTTATAATTCATGGATTTCAGTGGCCTAAGGAAGTTTTTACCTACTGTTTACACATTTTGTAGGTGATTTCAGCGTTTTTAGGTAGAAAATATATTTAAACAAAGGATTCTGTATTTCTAAGCCGTCATTTTGGGCAGTTTGGAGAAGGCTTGAACACAAAATAAATGTACCCTCATGTTGGTTTTTGGTAGGTGTGTTCATTTTCCACTTGTTTTGAGATAAAACGCCTTCCAAATGCCTCACTTTTTGCACAAAATGACTATTTGAGATGGTATCTTTGCAGTGCTTGAATATTGGTGACTTGAAATTCTTGAAACATGATATTTCTAAAACTAGGCTAACCTAACCTTGGTGTTCCTTGATAAAAAAGAAATAAAAAATAGCATCAGTGTCTCGCCGTTTAGTGACTGCTCACAGAATCTTTTATGAGGAGGCTTTTCAGTAAGTAGGTGTTATTTTACAGCCGTGAAACATTTCTTGGCTCGGCGCTGCACGTCTTTGAGTGGCTTTGTCTCCTTCACACTTGTGCAGCTTTCAAAGAAGCAGAGCAACAAGCGCCCTTCTCCTCCCTGCCTCATGAGTAATGTGTGATGATTAGAACAGATAATTACATCTATTTACATATAAATGTGATTGATACTTGTCCTACAGAGTTAAGCTTCCTTAAGCCGCTGCAGGAGCCGTTTGCAACTGATCACGTTATAATCTATCCATAATATTTGCATCCTCCATCTGAAGTCACCTAATTAGATGATCATTCGCCACAAGTAAACAATTGGGTATGATGACGCTAATTAACGCTGGTTGAACAATGTGCGGCGGTACGTGTTGAGAGACGCGTGCGTTCGTCTAATGGTGTTTATGAGGAGGGTTAAGATTAATGCGCCCTCATAAAAGGGACGGAGTCAGACGTGTTGTTCCTCGGTAGCAGAGATGGAGCGACTGCAGCGTGGCACTATATCTGAGAGGCCGCGGGTCTAATTGATTAGGTGTTGTCATCTTCAATATCCAACCGCCCTCATAGGAATCTCAAATGAACACTCCAGTGATAATGCCAGCACTCATTAAAATTTGAGCGCAGCAGGTCTTTTGGAAATGTCAAGACAAACACAAATGGCTTCCAAACAGGGAGGACCTTTTTAAATAGATGCCACTAATCCTTTTCATAACAACTAGCAAATTTGTCTTGATTATGTATTTATACTTTTAAGATACAGTCACGTTCTTGTTCCCTGGGGAGTTTTTTGAATTTTTGATCGGCCCTGCCTGAAGCCTCTAGGGTGAATTTGTTACGAACATTTGCTCACCCTGTGTGGCCTTGTGTCAAACATGCCCCTCGGTCAGGTTTCGCCTCAACAGGTCCACAGTCAATGTGCTTATTAAAACGTTGGCTTTAAGCCCAAAAGGCCTCCGGGTTTTTTTTAACTGCAAAGTGCCTGAAGCTTGCTGATGGGCTGTTGGTACAGAGAGTTCATCCAAAAGGTGGCTGGTTGGAGATTTGACCCGGGTCATACTGAGCCACCTTTTCTATTGGCACACGGTAATAGTCCTGACACTTTTTCACTCTTTCACTCAAGTGCCAATGTGACCTTTGACGAACTGCCTCCCATCACTGTGCAACACTGTCTTCTTGACATTTTAAACGAATGGTTTTCTGGATCATGTTTTAGGACGCCATTGAACAACCTTCTGAGGCTGCTTATTTTGCATATTTTAAGCCATAACTTTGATTTTCTGAGCAACATTTATTGGAGCTTTACATCTGAACAGAAACTGTAGTTTAATAATTAATGACCTTCTCCTGACTTCTTATGGACTGTGTATGCTGTCACCCTACAGTGGTTTCAGTAACGCGAATCTAAGAGGATGTGGACACCTGCTGTCCCCTAAAGGTCAGTCCTTTACCCCATGCTGTCTTCAGTGTTTGTATGCTGTCCTGTAGTCTAATTACCTTCCATAGTAGTTTCATCTCTGCACTGGTGAAACCAATATACCTATTGTGTTCCAATAAAGACAAGTCTGCTCCACGTAGCTGAGACATCCTGTGATAGTTTACATTAGGGCAGCAAATCATTATTTTATCGATTATTGGTCTATAAATTGTCACGTAAATACATAGTGAAGTCACTCTGTGACGTGTGGGAGAGAAACTCCCTCTGGAGGGATAACATGGGTTTTAGCCATGGCAGACCATTTACATGCACAAATACCTATATTACACACAGGAAACCCCCCAAAACATAATAGGGACCCCTTTAAATGTCCCCAAGTCATGTCGCAGGTCTATACTTTATAGGGTAAATTCCACAAATGAATAATGTAGAACTGTGTGAGAAGCATGAATATAATTACGATGCTGTTGTACACGTGCCTTTGTCTCAGTATGCTCAGTATTTGCACACCAGCCCCTTGTGACTTCCCACTACTAAAGGTAACATATGTGTTAAATGAACAACCAATCATTCATGGTGACAAGAAACTGCACAGCAGTCCTTTTAGAAAGCCAACTAATTGACTGGTCTCTCAGGGGGGTCTATTTGTACTCCGTGTGTGTCCACAGTTTGGAAGTCTCCCTGGAGCTGAAAGTCTCCCCCCCCCCCTCATTGTCCTAACTGCAGGAGTGACCACTAATTATACATCAGCGGGGGAGCGCACTGTGGAAATGCAACTTGCTTGATTCAGCATGAAGAACTTACTCTTTGAAAATGATTTTTCTGCTGCTTGAAATATGATATTGACTTTAGGCAGGTGTGTGTTGAAGATATGAAACAAATGATCTGATACTGTGTTGTTTTTATGTAGCCTGCCGGCAAAGAAGTCAGGTGAGATCAGATTATCCCGACAGGTGGAAGGATTTATTTAGATCAAAACAAGTGAGAATATGTTTTTGGGATATTGCTGTAAAAAAAGACTTTCCATCCAAAATCTGAATCCTATCTGATCGCAACCTTTTCTGATTCAAGGGAAAACTGGGGGAGATAAGGAGCAAGGGAGGCTGAAGATGAAAGAGAAGACTGAAAGAGAATGTGTATGAAACAGTGAAATGATTGCTGGGCTTTTGTATCCGAGCTTTTGAAGAGGTGTCTGGTTTGTACAAAAGGAGAGGTCACTGAGCAGATAAGGGTAGGATACAGGTGAAGAAATCCCACACTTCCAAACAAAGAGAATTGGAAACACAGGTGAGAGAAGAGGGTGCAAGGCATTTTCTGACCCAAGGAACATCAAAGACGTGATGATGAAAATCGAGAAAAAGTGAAGTACAAGCCTTGGCTTATGAATAAGTAAGAGATCTTTCATAAAGGCCATGTCTTATTTTAGCAAAAATGTATAGCAGGGCATTGCTGTCTGGTAAATGTTTTTCTTTAATAATACCATTATGGATATACAATGAGAAATGTCTAAATGGTTTGCATTAAAGGGGCCCTATTATGCTATTTTTGGATGATTCTAGCCTTTGCAGACCCTTTACATGCACAGAAACCTATAATACACACTACAGGAAAGGTAACACCTCAAAAAGGGTAATAGGGCCTCTTTAAAAAATAAGAATCATCATTTTCTTGTTGCCACCAAAGTGTTTGTTTCTAATATTTGAGATTCATGTGACTACTGTAATTGTTACTCAAATGTAAAAAACAGTTGCACAAAAATTATGTACTTTTATGAGTAAATTGGTAAATAGTGAGCATTTGTTGGGGCCTATGTTCATTAGCGTATTAATCCACATGGCATGCCCTAGTGAGTAATAGGGCTCCAGGCAGTCTTTGTGGGATTGAGTTAGAGTAGGGCATCAACGACTATTTTCTTCATTGATTAATCCAGTGCTAATTTTCTCAAATAATCAATTAAATGTTTGGTCTATAGAATGGCAGTTCGTCTAATTCTTAGGTTGTATAAGGTCTCAATTTGTCAGTCCGATAGCAAAACGATTTTTGGACAAAAACCATAACAAATGTTCCAGCTGTCAATCCACTAATCGAATAATGGCTTCTACCATAAAGGACGCTTATTTTGACATGAACAATTATAACTTAAGGTCAACTTTTCTGCATATTTAAACCTCATTTCAGTCTGTATCAGTTTATAGTTGTAGAGAAGTATAAAGAAAGCTGCCAAAAAGCTAGCAAGTGGTCCTTGAGCCACGAATGCTTTTATCAAACTACTATTTTCATGATCAAAAATGTATCCTCATGCTAATTCCTTTATCCACTGATTAATCTGATAATTATGGGCTATACAATAGTGAACATGTCCTGTTTCAGTAAGCACAAGGAGAATGTATCAACGTATTCAACCAGCCTCCCATGGATATTCATTCCACAATTATATGAGAAAGAGAAAAGATGAAAACAATCAAAGCTGAGCAGCCTGAATAATACATGTTTAGCATCTTTTTTTGATAAATAACCCCATAAAAAGTGACAAATGTACCTCAGATGCAAGCAATAATTATCTTAATGTAGCTTCGCTTCCCTGACAAACAAATGCATGAAAAAAACCTGTCTCCCTTTAACCTCTCTCGATACCTTTTCCCATTTGAAGTCGCTCTAGAATTGTTCCACAGATCAAACACCAAATCCCTCTGTGAAGGCTTGTTTTGCCTGGGCAACATTTTCCCCTCCTGTTGTGATGACATTTGTAAACACCATTACTAAGTCTTGCTACCTCCACTTTTCTCGCCTTAGCTTTCTTTCTTTAATTTAAGTACCTGATGTGTGAAGTCAATGGCAACGTTTCAGCTTTTTAAAAGCCCCTCAAAATGCTCCCCTGCTGTTGCTCCATGCACAGCCTAACATTTGAACAAAAGCTGCACAAAAGAAACGCACCTTGTGATTTGCATTCCTCTGTTTGTAGAGGATGTTGACTGGGAGACTTTAGGGCGTTCATTTACAGTTGGAGATGAAGAGGAGAAATCAAACAACAATTTGCCAGATTGATTTGCTCAGAGATGCGTTGTGCCTCCAAGTGTCTCACACAGTGGAGTAAATGGAGTTCCTGCTACCTCTTGTCTTCCATCTGAAGACTCCTGCTGTCAGTGAGTCACATTTTGATCTTTGCTTTCATGCCTCTCACTCTCTTCTCCCCCTCTAACCAAACATCCCGCTTTTTAATTAGACCCAGGAAGAGTCTGCATCCCTTTTTTTCTCCAGACCTAAAATATATTATTCAATGTGAAAAGAGATTGCGTTAACTGAGGCAAGAATTCACAGTGTTTACTGCAAATATGAGCCTGTGGCTAGTACAGCGTGACGATCACACAGACAGCGCTTTATATATATTGAAGAAAGAAAAACAGGAAATTGGAATTCTAGGACCTGATAGATGAAAACTAAATAAAAACTGAACCTAGGCAAAAGTGAGATGAAAATGCTGCGGGAATAAGGACGCAGGGGAGTTAAGAGACACACCTCTGCGACTGCTGGAACAAACAACATCCAGACACTTCTCACAAGACAGAGTGATGCACTAACAAGCCCTCAGAGTGCGTCGTTTTTCCACCTCTCGCTGTGTGTGTGTTCATTTTGGCTGCCAGCTGCATCTGTCTGTGGGTTTCGCGAGAGTTATGACTGCTCCGAGATGAAATGTTTGTGGGCATTCCATGACTGGGATCCATGTAGCGATTCTGCCTGCTGTCTGTGTCCGCTGTTGCTCCTGACAGGGAAACATGGTGTCAAAACAGGAGCTTTGGAGGATAGCATAGAGCTGCTGAAGATAGGTTTGCTAGTGCTTTTAAATTGGACAAAATGTGCTGCACCACAGAGCTTAATATATAGTCTGTAAACAAGTTTCTGATACTAATGGTTCCCTGCCAACGCCTTGCATTTTCAACTGCTCAGTGATGTAGAGCCGTACTGTAAGTGAGTGGTGCGGTGCTTTTATTTCAGCCATAGGATACGATATCTATCCAAGGGCATACACATATATTTAATACAAGTGTTTTGTCAAATCAGTGACTACAAATACGACAGTTGAAGGCTAGTAACAGGGGTGAAATGATTTAAGTTTTAAAGATGACATATTATGCATATCTGTATTTCGCGTCTCTGTTGTGACATCCCTCCGGAGGCAACTTTGGGATTTTAGAGACCATTTAAATGCACCAAGACCTAAAGGTTCACATTTCACAAATGATTGTTGCAAGATTGCAGATAGTTTGTTATAAGTATACACACTCGTGTGTGGGTTGCAAGTTTGGTTTTGGGTTTGATAGCTGATATTAAATAATAAGATTACAAATTAGCACTAGGGAGAACATTTCTTATTTTGGAGCTCTTCTGTTCAATTCACTTATTTTTTTCTTCTAGACTGGTTAAATAATTAGTTGGCTCTGTCAGCCATGTTGTAATTAGTATTGTAGAGGTTATATAGAGGGTCATAGATTAACTTCAAAATGATCTGGCTAACAAATCATCAAGATCGAAGATCTTAAAGTAATTGAAGGAGGAGGAGATTTAAATGTAATCACAAAAGGTCTCCACCAACTTCCCAGAAATGCTGATCCGCAGTTAGTGAAGTAATGAGGCTCTATTATGAACGGGCGTGCTTCTCTTTACTGCTGACACGGTGAAACCTATCATCACCTTGGCAGATTAAAATAATCGTGCACAAACATTTCAAGTTCATAACTCATTTCCAGCGTGATGAATGGAACCACACCGGAGATTGTCATTTGAAAGAAGCGAGGAGCAGAAGTCGTTTCGCTAGGTAATAGACAAAAAGCAAAATAAAACAAAGAGCAGCGGGAGAGACGATTCCAAATAATATCCTGATAATTACATTACTTCCAAAGTTGGGCTAGAGCCATTCAAACGACTCCAGTGCCGTTTGAGTGGAGCGCTGCTGAAATGTCATTCATCTGAAGCACATCAAAAGATAAAAACTGGCGATAAGAGAATTAACGTAGCTGTGAGCCGCTGCTGGGTCACATCATTAAATCACAGCTCACCCCCATAGATCTGAATGAATTCATCTTTACACAGTGCACGGTCTAAAAGCTATTATGGGAATAGGTGCCAATTCATACATTTTTCAAAGTTAACATTTCAAACATTGTTACACGTTTTCCAGAATATAAGTCTATGAACCGCAATATCCCTATACATCCCTAAACAACTAAAACTGTATTTCACATGGATTGGCAGAGTTTTGCAGGCCTATTCCATATTTATGCATTAATGAAATTAGGCAGACTACATAGCTAAATAATACATCTTGGTTCATAAACTGAAGTTTAACAGAGCCAAATTCTCGTAGGTTCGTTCATCCGAGCGCTCATGCTGGCCTCAGGAAATACGCTTAAGTGGACACAACTTAAAAGGTCAATTGTTGTGCTATTTTTGAGAATGGTTCCTGCTGGCGACCTTATTGGCTAGCCGTTGTTTAGTCCATGTACACTCACAGGTCCCACGGTGGGATATGGGGCAGTAAGAATAGTCAGAGTGTCACAAGTTAGACACATATTATTGTTGTTTTTTGGTTTGACACATCTTAACTCTCCTGTCATTTCAGATCCCGCCTTCCTCCAGGCTATTGCAATCAGCTCACTCCCCTCACCTGGTCTCCCCAGCCCTTCCCTTTACCTGTTACTCATTCCCTCATTACTCCACAGTATTTATACCACCTCACTCTCACTTGTCCTCTACCAGATTGTCTTGTCTATTCTGCCAAGCTCTCCAGCGTTTGATTATCTCTAGCCTAGTTACCTGTCCTGCCTGGTTTTGACCCCTGCCTGCCTGTTACCGGACCTCGAGTTTCCTGCTTGCCCCCTGTTTGGATTTGTTTGCCTCTCTGACGGATCGCCTGGTTCTGAGCCCTGTTCTGCCTGCCCCTTCTCGGACTTGTTTGCCTGACTTCTGGATTTCCTGGTTTTGACCCTGCCTGTCCCTGACCTGATTAAACTGAACAATCTGAACACTGGTTGTATCTGTGTCGTGCTATTGGGTTCTGATCTGTACCTGTGAGCATGACACATCTGGTGATAATTAGCAAAGAGATGATGGGCGTCTTGGCTCTGGAAACTGTAATTCAATAATA